GGGGGCTCTGAATGGGACATGGGTCTGGGTTGGGGCAATAGGGCAGGGGGCTCTGAGCAGGGCAGGGGTCTGGGTGCGGGTGATGGGGCGGGGGGCTCTGAATGGGACATGGGTCTGGGTTGGGGCAATAGGGCAGGGGGCTCTGAGCAGGGCAGGGGTCTGGGTGCGGGTGATGGGGCGGGGGGCTCTGAATGGGACATGGGTCTGGGTTGGGGCAATAGGGCAGGGGGCTCTGAGTGGGGCAGGGGTCTGGGTGTGGGTGATGGGGCAAGGGGCTCTGAGCGGGGCCAGGTGTCAAGCATCTCCCTCCACTGCCTTCTCTCCCTCTTTCTCCAGCTAATGGCACGGCAGATTCTCTCAGCTCCAGCCCGAACATTTCCAACGCTGCCAGCCCAAAGCTGGAGCCGCCTCCGTCCCCGCATGCGAACAGGAAGAAACACCGCAGAAAAAAGAGCACGGGGACGACCCGGCCCGACGGCCCCAGCGCAGCCGCGGAAGGTAGGAAGGGGCTGTCGTGCAGCTGGGCGGGCGGCCCCCTGAACCCACCGCCCTGCTCCCTGGCATGCCACGCTCTTCGCTCCCCCCGGCCTGGCCTGCCCGCTCCCCCTGTCTCAGTCCCAGGTCGTGGAGCCCTGGGGCCGGGCGCGACCTCGGGGATCAGCTGGTCGAGCCCCTGACATTGGCACCCTGGGGAGGCAGCTGCCAAACGCATCCCATAACATCCTTGTTCCCATCGCCTGTGGATTTGCACCTCTGCTCGTCCACGCCACGCGGCCTCCGCAGGCTGGGTTTTCCTGCAGAAAGTCCGGCTGTTTCAGGGAGCCAGTTTTCCTCTTCTCTTGCCCAACAACTTGCACAGACCCCTGCCTGCTTCACGACAGTGTGAGAGCTCGTGAGAGCCAAGGCAGGACAGGCTGCCACTTACGTCCCAGTTTCCAGTAGCGAAGCTGATCTCTGCGCCCTGACCGTGACACGGTTTAGCGTCCGTCCCAGAATCACCGTCACCGGCGCAGTCACTTGGGACATTTGTGGCCCATCCTGCGTCCCGCCTGCAAAGGTCGAGGCCTGGACCTCCGCCTCTGCCAGCGGCTCCTACGTGTGTGGAAACCCTGCGCAAGTGGCACGTTGCTCTCCTCGGTCCATGCAGAGCTCCCATGTCCCGAGTCGGGGAGAGCGGGCAATCTGCATCTGCCTTCTCCAAACCGTCGGTTTGCAGGCTTTAATGTCTGACCCCCTTGTCTGCATCCTACAGTCCCCATAACTGTATTTAGCCCCACTGGCCAGTGATCTAGCAGTGCTTCTTTAGCTTCCTTTATCAGTCACCTCCGTGCTTTCCTTCTGACTTAGATCTGTTGCCCTGGACGTCCCCTCCCTGCCAGGCTTTGTGTACAGCTTTCGTGTCTGACTGCTGCCTTCACATTGCTGTGCCCTTGGCAGGATTGGGGTGCCAATGTCAGCGATCGTGGTCCATGGGCCAGGTGCCCGGAGATTGGAAACTAGCTAATGTGGTCCACATCTATAAGAAAGGGAGGAAGGAGGACCTGGGAAACTATAGGCCCATAAGCCACATTGGTCTTGGGGAAAATCCTTGAAATAATCATCAAGGAGCACATCTGTGGGGGGCCGGCAGGGGAGATCATGCTCAGGGGCAATCAGCATGGGTTCATCAAAGGCAGGTGCTGCCTGTCCAATCTGATGGCCTTTTATGACCAGGTAATTAAACCCCTGGATGATGGTGTCACCATGGACGTAGTCTTTCTGGACTTTAAGAAGGCCTTTGACACTGTCTCTCACCCCATCCTCATCAATAAATTAAGCGACTGTGGCATTGATGCCTGCACAGTTGGATGGGTAAAAAACTGGCTGATGGGGCGCACCCAGAGAGTAGTGGTGGACGGGTTGTACTCAACCTGGCGAGATGTGAGCAGTGAGGTCCCCCAGGGCTCGGTCCTCGGGCCCGCACATTTAACATCTTCATCGGCGACTTGGACGAGGGGGTGGAAAGCACGCTGTCCAAGTTTGCTGATGACACTAAGATGTGGGGAGAGGTAGGCACGCTCAAAGGGAGAGAGAGGCTGCAATTAGACTTAGACAGACTACAGAGGTGGGCGGATGGTAATAGGATGGGGTTCAACATAGACAAATGCAGGGTGCTGCACCTTGGGAGAAGGAATCCACAGCATACATACAGGCTGGGGAGTTCCCGCATCCAAAGGTGCATCTCAAGCTGGTCCAGAGAGGTGATCCTCCCCCTCTACGCGACTTTGGTCAGGTCACAGTTGGAGTACTGCGTCCAGTACTGGGCGCCGCACTTTGAGAAGGATGTGGCCTGCCTTGGGAGGGTTCAGAGGAGGCCACCCGCTTGGTGAGAGGGCAGCAGGACAGGCCCTACAAGGAGAGGCTGAAGGACCTGAACCCGTACAGCCTCAGCAAGAGGAGGCTGACGGGGGATTTGGTGGCTGCCTACAAACTCGTTAGGGGAGATCAGCAGCAAATAGGAAGGGCCCTTTTCTCCCCAGCACCACCTGGGGTGACGAGGAACAATGGCCAGAAGCTGCTGGGGAATAGGTTCAGGTTAGAGATTAGGAGGCAATATTTCACTGTCAGGTTGGCTAGGATCTGGAACCAACTTCCTAGGGAAGTGGTCCTCGCTCCTACCTTGGGTAAATTCAAAAAGAGGTTGGATGATCACGTGTCTGGGGTCGTGTGATCCCAGCGTGTGCTCCAAGCAGCAGCGGGGGGTCAGACTAGATGATCTGTTCAGGTCCCTTCTGACCCCTAACTACTAGGAAACTGTGAAACATCTACTTTTAACCAAGAAGCTTTTTTGCCTAGTGTAATTATTCTGTCTCTGGTGCGGGGGACGGCCGCTGGCCACAGCTCCAGTTTTCATTAGCGTTTCCCACTTCAGCGTCCGTTTCTGGGTCAGCTGTGCCCGCGATCGCTTTGAGGTTTTCCTTAGTTGTACTCAGAGCCGTGCAACGCGGCGGAGGAAGCGTGCGCTCCTTGCACTAGCGAGGCGCGCGTGAGATGCAGTGAAAGCAGGCTCAGATGTTAACAGAGAGGGGTCAGCAGGCAGCGTCTCCTGGGGCTGGCTCGGGGTCCGGGGCTATTCAGTTCTTTTATCAGCAATCCCAAGGATGTGAGATCTGTGCTGGTGACGTCTGCCGGCGGCCCGGAGCGGCTGGGGAGAGAAGTGACTTACGCAGCTGTCAGAGTTGTTGGGTTAAGATGGTCACCGTCCCGCTGAATGGGTCTTAATGCGGTGCAGCGCGCGACAGTCGCCTGCAAGCTCCGCAGACGGGCCGGGGTGCCGTCGGGGCTGGCAGGGGACGTCGGTCTCTGCGATGGGCACGGGGCAGATCATTGCTCGCAGAGCGGTGCTGGGCATCTGAGGGGGAGCCGGAGGAGCGGGCAGAGGTCGTCTCTGCACGGTGCTGGGGAGGTGGCTCGGAGCAGAGGGGCCCGTGGCTTGAGGCTGCAGGGAATTGGTGGCCTGGGCAGGTGCAGCGGGTGGCAGACGAAGGTTTCCGAATCTGGCCTTGATGCCCTGGGCAGTGCGGACGATGCCAGCACAGCCGGTGCCTGGAGTGGGGGCTCCCCCTGGGCTGGGGTCTGCAGCAAGGTGAGGCTTCTTCGGTGCCCAGCCATGGAGCAAGGCTGCAGTTGGCATGTGGACTAGAGGCAGTGCTGCCATGAGTGTCCCTGCCCGTCCCAGTCTCTCCGGTGGTCCCTTAGTGGAGGCCTCTCGGCCCTGGCTGCCTGCGTGGGAAGCTGCTGGTGCAGCACTAGCCCCGTTGCACCTGGCACCACGTTGGCCCTTCTGCCCCTGCCTTGTACCACGTGCCACCTCCTGCACTGTCCACGGCAAGCCCAGCCCACTCGGGCACTGCGCGGGTCACCGAGGCCCAGGCCAGAGTGGGCTATGCTTCATGCATGGGCCAGCCGGCCGGCGCTGAGCACCAGCTGCATCCATCCCTTCTTCCCATTGCCACGGCTGGGGCAGCGTCAGGTCCAGGATGGTGAGTGGTGGGGTGCGCTCGGTGGTCCTGTTGCCAGTGCCCAGGGGCCGTGGCGAGGAAGGAAGAGGCAGCCTAGCTGGTTTGAACACACGCAGCTGGAGAGGGGATGGCAGGAGGGATGGGGACAGGCCAAGGGGGCAGGATGGTGTTGCACCCCAACTCTCCGGATCCCGGCGTTCCCCCAGTCACAAGCCCACGGCGAGGTGTGCGTCGTGACCCCTGCAGCGGCTGGTAAGCACGGAGGTAACAGCCGTCTGCTGCTGGCTGCTCCCTGCCCGCTCCGGCGGTGGGTGCCTGAGCAGGGGTCCATGCATCGCTGCCATGCCAGCAGCCCTGCAGTGTCCGGTGGCTCCCTGCAGCAGAGCTGCTGGTTTAATGCTCTCCTTTAAACCCCGGTTTGGGGGTTGAACACACTTCCCTTTGCCCGGACCCTGCTCGGGTGCCCGAGTCGAGCACTTGGGAGGTGACGGGTCTCCCGGGATTCTCCAGGAGTTTCCTTCCCACCTGGCAGGGCTGTGCGCAAGGGATTTGGGGATGAGCCTGGGCCTATAGCATCACCCGGACCTGCTCCCAGCCGCCCCAGGGAGAAGCGAGTGTGTCTGCTCGGGCATCACAACAGCCAGGGCTGGCCCGCGGCACCGAGCTGGGCTCCCAGGCACCTCCGGGGACAGTCTCCCTGCACCAGCCTGCACCCCACACGCCCCGGGGGCCAGCCGGGGGCAGCTAGAGGAGGCCGGTTCTGCCCTCAGGCATCCGCCGTCCCCCTCCCACGGGGACCAGGATGATGCTGCCCCTGCCCCTTCCCTGCGCGCGCTCTCCGGCCCTCCCGCGGGAGGGGGCAGCCAGCCGTGCGTGCTGGGTGCCAGCGTCTCAGGTTAGCATCCTGGGAAAGTTGGTGAGGTCTGGGGATAAATTGCTATCAGTTTATCTCATTTAGGAGGTAATCAGAGCCGGGGACGTGCGGAGCAATTGAATCTTAGTTGTTCTGAAGTATCATAAATCAAACGAGCTGTTGCTTTTTTACATGGGCGCATGTTAAAGAGAGCGCCGTGTCAGGTTGCTAGGGAGCATCAACAAACTATGGCAAGCGTGGCGGCGTCGGGCTGCTAGGGAACGTCACCAAACCGCCGAGCGCGGCCAGGGGCTGTCTGCGAGCGCCAGCCCGGCGGCGGCAGGCTACGGGGGAGCACCCCAGCGCCCAGCGCCGACTGTCGCCTGGCAGGTGGCTGCAGCCGCGGGTGACGGGGGACCAGGGCGGGCCACAGCTCCTTGCTCTGGGCCCGGCTCTGCTCCCTGCGGTGTCCAGGGAAAGCCCCATGCCGCCCCTCGGGGACCCGCGTGGCGCCCGACCGGGCCAGGGGCGCGGGCAGGGTGCGTGGCAAGGCGAGGCTGCATGTGGGTAGAGGCAGGCACCGTTGCGACGCTCCCTGGGCCAGCCCCCCCATGGCTGCCACAGCTCCGGGGATAATGAACTTCTCATGTGCTTAAAGAGTGATGCAGGGTGCATGGCGAGAAGCTGACAGCCCCGTAATGGGCTTCGCCGGGGCAGCCAACGACGCGCTTTTGTCTTTGTTTTTGAGTTTGAAACCCCCCGGGAAATTGATGGCCAGTGAAGAGCTGCACCGGGCGACGGCCGTGATTAATGCCGGTGTCGGGGCCGTCGGGGGCTGGGAGCGCCGTGCTGAGCTGCTCTCAGCCCGTCACCGGGGCTGGCAGCTGCCAACACGCTGCTCGGGGCACCCGCGCCTGGAGCTGCAGCCAGGGCCTCTCGCTCGCTCACTCGCTGCACCCCAGCCCCGCCAGCCTGTGCCCAGGTCCCTGCCCCCAGCTTGGTCTTCCTGAGCTGCACCCTGGCTCCAGCCTCCCCTGCGGATGTGCCCCCAGCACCAGCGCGTGCACACAACCCTTGCATCCCCAGGGCATGTGCCCCTGGCCTGCCTGGGGCCCACAGCGTGACCCACCCCTTGCACGCGCCTCTTGCCCCTGGGCCCTTTGAGGCAACACCTCCTCACCCCTCCTGGGTGCCCCTCGGCACGTGCCATGCACACGGGCCCCATGCCCTTCCTCGTGCATGCACACATGCACATCCCAGTGGGACCCTGCACCCGTGCCCCTGCTCTCCCAGCCTTCGAGGGACCCCGGAGGCAGGCGCGGGGCCGTGCCAGCAGGTGTGTGGGCACCGTGGTGCTCGGGCGGCGCTGGGCAGGGTGGAGCGCGGCGGGAGTCTCCATGGCAATGCGGCGGGCGGCGCGGCTCCCCGGCAGCTCCGTGGGGGGGGGCCCGCCCCCGCCACACTAATACAGGTTAGGAATATTGGGTTTAATGATCTGCAAAATGAGGAGGCAGCGAGCTGACATTTACGGATGGCGCCTGCATCCTCCGCTCCCCGACGCCTGCTAATTTGTTGATATCCCAAACACCTCGTCACCGTGCCGAACGCTGGCAGCTCGCAAGGCCCCGGCCCCGGCCCCTGCCCAGCCTCGGAGAAGGAAGGCGATGTCCCGTAACCCCGGGCTGGGGACGCCCTGCCCTCCGCTCCCGGTGCCAGCCCAAGGCCCTGCCGGCCAGGGCGTGCGTGCAGCTGCCCCGCACGCCCTTTGGCTTGGTGGCAGGTCGGAGGGGCTGGGGCTGCTAGGCTCCCCGCCCATGCCCTCTTCTGCACGGGGTGCCTCGTCCCAGGGTGCCAGCGTGGAGCAGGAGAGGGCTGGCCGGGTGTGGGTGTGGGAGGAGGAGGGTTGTGGGGCTGTGGCCGTGGGCAGTGTGCACAGCGTGGCACGGCGGTCCCTGCTGCGGGCTGGGGGTGTGACCGCCCTGTGTATGCTTGTGCTGAGCCGGGAGCCCCAGGGATGCCATCCAGGCCTGGGCCCTGCTCCACCTTGGTGCAGCCCCGCTGAGCAGTGCTGGGGATTCGAGCCCCTCCCCACCCTGGGTCCCGGGCAGTGGGGAGCCCCTGCATGCTCCCGGCTGGTGGGAGACTCTTGTGCTAATTTTGCAGCTGCAGCCACTGCCGCCCGGCGGCCACGGCG